CACATAGTCCCATATTTCTTGGAGGCTTTGTTCATTTATTTTCACTCTTTTTTCTCTAATCTTGTCTTCTCACTTTATTTCATTTCGTTGAGTTGATCTTCAGTCTCTAATATCTTTTATTCCACTTGATTAATTTGGCTATTGATTCTTGTATATGCTTCATGAAGTTCTCGTGTTGTGTTTTTCAGCTCCATCAGGTCATTTATGTTCTCTAAACTGGTTATCCTAGTTAGCAATTCATCTAACCTGTTTTCAAGGTTTTTAGCTTCCTTGCATTCAGTTAGTACATACTCCTTTAGCCTCAAACTCCTGGGTTGAAGCCTCAGCCTCCTGAGTAGCGTGGACTACAGGCTCACACTGCCATACATGGCTAATGTTTTTTAAATTTTTTTGTGGATGTGAAGTCCTGCCATCTTGCCTAGACTGGTCTTGAGCTCCTGGGCTCCAGTGATCTTCCCCCACAGCTTCCTAAAGTCCTGGAATTGCCTGAGCCACTGTGCTCCCACCACTTTCATTTTTAAAAGGACAGTTTCAATAGATGTAGAATTAGGTGTCAACAGATCTTTCTTCTTTCAGTACCTTAAATATGTCCTTCCATTTAGTCTGACTTTTGTTGTTGTTGTTGTTGTTGTTGTTTTGAGACGGAGTTTCGCTCTTGTTACCCAGGCTGGAGTGCAATGGCACGATCTCGGCTCACCGCAACCTCCGCCTCCTGGGTTCAGGCAATTCTCCTGCCTCAGCCTCCTGAGTAGCTGGGATTACAGGCACGCGCCACCATGCCCAGCTAATTTTTTTGTATTTTTAGTAGAGACAGGGTTTCACCATGTTGACCAAGATGGTCTTGATCTATTGACCTCGTGATCCACCCGCCTTGGCCTCCCAAATTGCTGGGATTACAGGTGTGAGCTACCACGCCTGGCCTACTTTTGTTGTTTTTATTGAGAACTGACCTATTTGTATTTTTGTTACCTTGTGTGTATTATGCCACTTTTCTTTATTGCTTTCAAGATCGGTTTTCTTTGCTATTTTTTTTTCTTTTTTTTTTTTCTATCTGGATTTAAGTGGTTTGTCTATGGCATGTATATTTGTGTTTTCTTTATCCTTTGTGGAGTTTGTCAGTTAGCTTATTGGATCTGTAAATTAATGTCATTAACAAATTTGGGGATGTTTTACTTTTTTGAATATTTTTCTGTCCCATTCTATCTCTTCTCTTCTTTTGGTTCTTCTTCCTCCTCCCATCCCCACCCCAGTTTTTAGATTGGTAATTTTTGTTAAGAAAAAACTTTCACTTCTGCCATCTTCAGTTTGCTCTTAATCCTGTCCAGTTATTATTTATTTATTTTATTTATTTATTTTGAGAAGGAATCTCGCTCTGTCACCAGGCTGGAGTGCAGTGACGTGATCTCAGCTCACTGCAACCTCCACCTCCCAGGTTCAAGCAATTCTCCTGCCTCAGCCTCCTTAGTAGCTGGGATTACAGACACACACCACCCAGCTAATTTTTGTGTTTTTAGTAGAGACGGGGTTTTACCATGTTGGTCAGGATGGTCTCAATCTCCTGACCTTGTGATCTGCCTGCCTAGGCGTCCTGAAGTGCTGGGATTACAGGCATGAGCCACCATGCCCGGCTCTATTATTTTTAAAGAGGCAGTCTGTCACTCATTCTGTCACCCAGGCTGGAGTACAGTGGCATAATCATGGCTCAGTGTAACCTCAAACTCCAGGGTTCAAGAGATCCAATTGTCTCAGCCTCCCAAAATGCTGGGATTACAGACATGAGTTTCCACACTCAGCGTCAGTGAATTTTAAATTATAGTTACTGAACTTAGTAACTGGAGAGTTTTGCTTGTTTTCTAATATTTTTAATGTGTTCATTTATCATGCATACATCCTACATTCAGTCTGTGTGTATGTTAATCGTTGCTTTAAAGTAATTACCTGATTGCAGTATCTGAGAAATCTCTGGGGTCTGTTTTTATTGACTGCTTTTTCCCCACCGGAGTATGGGTCACATTTTCCTATTTCTTTGTATGTCTAGTGTTTTTCTATTGAATACTTGGCATTTTGAATGATACATTTGAGAGATTCCGGATTCTGTTTTGCTTCTCTGAAACATAATTTTTATTCTAGAAGCCAGTTAATTGGACTGAACTCATACGCCAAACTGTCTCCTCTCTAGTGGTAGTGCCAAAATCTTCACTTAGTTATTTCATCTTTCAGTGGCCAATTTATGCCACGATTCCTGGGTTTCTCTCCCTTGCCTCATAATTAGTTTAGTGACTAGCACAGGTCTTGGGAGGACTTTATATACATATTTTGGGGTTTACCTCCTCTTTGTCTTCTTCCCTTTTATGAAATCCCTCCTAAATATCTGATAAGTTCTGCCAGCATTGAACTCTGTTATCTGATGTATCAAGCCCATAAGACTTGGCTTCCTGCCTAACCTACCTCCAGTGGCAAGCACATTTAGCAGTGCCCTGGGTCATAAAAACCACAAATGTGGGCCAGGCATGGTGACTCACACCTGTAATCCCAGCATTTGGGAGGCTGAGGCGGGTGGATTGCCTGAGCTCAGGAGTTCGAGACCAGCCCGGGCAACATGGTGAAACCCCGTCTCTACTGAAATACAAAAATTAGCTGGATGTGGCAGCATGCGCCTGTGGTCCCAGCTACTTAGGAGGCTGAGGCAGGACGATAGCTTGAACCTGGGAGGCAGAGGTTACAGTGAGCCCAGATTGCGCCACTGCATTCCAGCCTGGGTGACAGAGCGAGACTTTGTCTCATAAAACAAAAGAAAACAACAACAAAAAAACCCCACAAATGTACAAATCTCACCTCTTGCAGATTTATCCTCCCAGTCACTTTCTCCTTTTGCCAGGGAATGTGTGCCCTCTGCAGGCAAGATAGTTTTCAGATATAGAGGAGTCGAGTTTATTAGTGTCAAATTTCCAATCAGATAAGTTACTCTTTCTTTTCCAAGAAGAAGATACTGAGAGAGTGGTTGCGAGGAGAGGAATATATTGTTTGAGCTACATCAACATGGAAGTTGACATAGGGAAGAGGTATTCTTCCCTGATATTCCCTAGCATTTTGTTCTCCTAATTGATAGAGCCTAAACTAGCAGTCAGTTTAGTAGAAGAGATTAACAGTTTGTCATATGGTTAGACTGCTTATAATTATTTTAAAATTGGGGGTGGAAGGAAGGAGGAGGAGGACTGAAAGCAGTTGAGAGCAACCAAAAGCAGAAAGAAACTGGATGGGAAAGAAAAACTAAGTTTCCTTCAAGACACTAGATGTGTCAGAACAGTATAATGCCTATATCAAATCCATGCTCCCTATGTACCCAAATTAAGTTCCCACATTATTTTCTGTTCCAAATTATGTCCAGACAAATTATCCAGGGTAACATATTTGGAAGTTTGGCAATTAAATGATGACTAATATTTACTGCCCAGGAATCTAGGAGGATATCCAAAGGCAAATAATCCAGAGGATATCTAGAAAATTGGCCATTTTGTGGACTTTACAGCTTGTCCTTGTTCATTTTATGCTTTTTATTTAAATCTACTTTGTCTGATACTAATATAGCTATCCTAATTTCTTTTTGTATTTATTTAACTGATATATCTTAACGCATGTCTTTATTTTTATCTTTCTGTGTCATTTTGTTTTAGATGAATTTCAAATACCATATAGTTGAATTTCGATTTTTGTTTTTTATGATTTGAGATTCTTTGTATTTAAAAAGAAGTTTGCATCTATTATACTAAATAATATAATTGTTCTTCTTCCATCTTCTTGTTTTGTACTGTGTTATATTGCCTTACTCCTGTTTTACTCACTTGGTCTTTTGCTTTTGCTATAGTTTTTCTGGCTCTTTTGTTTTACCCCTAGTAATTTGGAAATTAGACTTCCTATTTTTATTTAATTAGTAATTACTTCAAATTAAAAGAAATTGAACCTCTATTTCGTTTCTATCATGGAAAATACAATAGCATCTATTGATGTGCCTGGAAATAACTAATGAGTCACATACTTGAGCATTTCGCTTTTATTCTTACTCTTACAGTTTGTTGGAATAATTTGGGCTTTAGATCCAAATTGTTAGTAGTATTTCTTCTTTTTAAATATCCTTAAGAAATACTTTTCACATTTGCATTTTCTTACATAGCCATGTTAACCTTGTTAAGAATAACTTCTTAGACATTAATTTTTATGTTTACAGTTTACAATGTCCATCTGTATTTCTTTTATAACGTATCTTCCCTTATACTTAAGGAGTTTATTTGTGTAGACTTTATTGGGCATTAAAATATTTCTTTGAGTGATTTTTAAAGAGTATGTGTTGGAATCTTTGCATATCTGAGAATATTTATTAAATGAATGTTTGTCTGACATAGCAATTATAACTATAGGAACTTTTTCTAAGGAACTGATAGTATGTAAAGATATATGTACAAGTTTGTTCATTTTGCAGTTTTATTACAAAAGCAAAACTTAGAAAGTAATAAACATCTATAAATAGATATCAGTCAAATAAAATATATTTTCTAGACATAATTGTAAAATCATAAGTTTTATTACCTTTGTCATCCAACTGAAATTAATGTAAATATAATTAATTTTTTGCCTGTTTCTTGTGCAAGTTGAAATTATACATTTAGACCATATAAAGCAAGCATTAGCATGTTTGACTGTGAAGATTAATATTAGGGGCCAGGTGTGGTGGTTCACACCTGTAATCCCAGTGCTATGTGAGGCTGAGACAGATTTCTTGAGCCCACATTATAGTGAACTATGATTGCACCACTACAGTCCAGCCTTGGTGATGGAATGAGACCCTTACTCTTAAAAAAAATTGCATTTAATACCTTTTTTCCATTTGTCAAATTAAATATTGGCTAGCTAAATATTAATTATTATTATATACATTTTATTCTATTATTATTATTATATAAACTTTTTTTTTAAGAAGTTCAGTTTTAGTCTGTTCATTTTAGTCACTCCATGGATTCATTTGGGCAACCCAGACCAGAAGACAATCAGTCAGTAGTGAGCAGAATGCAGAAGAAATACTGGAAAACTAAACAGGTCTTTATCAAAGCAACAGGAAAAAAAGAGGATGAGCACTTGGTGGCATCTGATGCTGAACTGGATGCTAAACTTGAGGTAAATTTGAGCATTCTGTGTATTGTCTATTATTTGGGACATCATGGGGGACTGCAACAAGTTTTCAAACTGGAGAGCTTGTGGGGATAAATGCCAATTTGATAATAGAATGTTTAGTTGTATCCAGCTGTCAATTAGGGCTCTAAATAGGAGGTCACAGTTCTCACAAACTGAGAATTTGCAAAATTGGTATTCACTAAATTAGATAAAATATGAAGTAGTTTCTCTGGCACACATATTACAATTTTTAAGCTAGTGAATTAATAACAGTCCCAATTAAGACTATATACTCATTATATATCATGTCATACTGTTTTGTAGTACTTTGATGTGAAGTCTTATATTTCACTGAAATAATTAAAATCAAATAGTGAATGAAGATAAGAGTTATTATTTCTATTTTACTAAAAGAGTTATTGAAATACTTCCTAATGCCTTTTTTGGCTGTTTTTTATTTTAAATAAATAATTGCCATGGAACAATTTTAAACCAATAAATGGTTTAAAGTAATTAGGCTAATTAGAGAAGAGTTTCATATAAATGAATACAGAAGTCTGAATTTTTAAATGCAGATTTACTAACTCAACATATATATTCTAATTCAAGCTAACTCTTTCAAATATTTCCAGGCAGATATTCTGTTATGCTTGGAATATAATTATTATGGTAGGATTCTTCCAAATATGGGTCTAATTAAACTGGTCTTGATCAAGTATTTTCTTCTGCATAAAGTAAACTTATATCATTGCCGAAACAAATGTAGAAATACATAAAAATTTACAAGCTTTTACTGTTTCTGTTGAAAAGTATTCTTAGGATTCAATGACAAATGTGTAAAAGTGAAGACTTTATTATTATTGATGTTGCATGTTTTAACACAACAGTATATTGTTCTAGATTTATTCCCAGAGAAGTGAGAATGTATGAGGTTTTGATATTGTTTTACATTGTTAGGTCATCTGTGGGTGACGTGTTTTATATTCAGTGTAAATCTGTCCATTAGATAAATATTTGGAATCAACCAAGAACTTTCTCTTACATTTGTACTATTTTTTAAGAATGAGAAACAGGTTTATTATAAAAGTAAAAAGGAATGGTATGTAAATCTTGAAAAGACCTGTGGGGAAAAAAAAATCAAGCATAATCACTTCATCCTAGTAGAACTACCTTTTTCGTATTCTTTTCTAATCTTCTTCCACATTCATTTAAAACCGATCTTACAATTGCCAAATTCAAATACCCACTGCACTTCAAACATGTCTAAACTTATAAGGAAAATTGATGCCTTCCCCTCCTTTAATATTTTAGTGTTTATTGTCAGTCTTCTGTAGGTTTGATCAAACATCAAAATAATAATGAAACTGCTCTAGAGATAGAATGTGCAGGTTTCTTGATACTGGGCATTTGACAATCAAAGGGTTAGGGCTTACTACTACACAGTAGTACCAAGGTCTTTTTTAACTAAGTCACATAAAAATTCTTCAGTGAAGATGATTCTGAACAGACAGCCCTTGCTTAAAAAAAAATTCTCATTGTAGCACTTTGTGAGAAGGCTGTACACTAAAACTTATGCCAGCTTATTTATCTGGAAACACCTACATTTGTGTGAAGAGTTATGTCGTGTGTATAGTGTGTCCCCATCTCAAATTTTCATGTGCTTTATTTTGAAATGAGAGACAACTGGATATTTTCTGTTAGCAATTAGCAGCAGTAGTAATCAAATAATTAATATCTATGGAAAATTCTAAACAAAAAGAATCTAAAAATAATTTATATTTGATGTTGTAATACATTATTTAAGTTTTATGGTAAATTTAGTAATCTGTTTTGCTTAGACCAATATGGGAGAAAAGCCAAGACTTGGAGTTAACACTTTCTAAGTTTGTCTGTACTCTGTTCATCTGTGGTTGGCAATATTTGATGTAGTTTATATTAGATTTGTCTTTTTGTTATTTAGATGGTTTGGGGCTGAGATGAGGACAAACTCTTCAGTTTTAATTTTTTGTTTACTCCCCTATATTATCATTTTTCCAACTCTCATGGGAGAATGTACTTTCTACATCAGATATATAACAAAAATTGAAGTATGTCAAAGCCAAGGAAAAATAGATATAATATTTTTAAGATAGATATAATACCTGTAAGAAAATGTTATGCTTTTGGAGTGCTTATAACATATATTTGTTTATGGTTTTTTAAATTGTCCTAATATAATTTATATTTATTTCAAGGTTTTTCACTCCATTCAAGAGACATGCACTGAACTTCTGAAGATAGTTGAGAAATACCAGCTAAGACTCAATGGTATGAAATTATAGATATCTGTATGATAATATTTGTTACCATTTTTTAAAATTAAAGATCTAATATAAAAGTAGTAAAACTATTTTGTGAATAGCTTCTTATGACAAAATATGAATATTTACAGTGACCTGTTCTCAAAGACCCCAGTATTCTGTCCCTTTTTTCCTCAGTTAATCAAATCCTCTGACCCAGATTTATTTTTTGCTGATATTCCTTTTTTTCTTTGAGACAGGGTCTTCCTCTGTTACCCAGGCTGGAGTGCAGTGGTGTGATCACAGCTCACTGTAGTCTCTACCACCTGGGCTCAAGTGATCCTCCCACATCAGCCTACCAAGTAGCTGGGATTACAGGCCTGTGCCACCATACCTGGCTAATTTTTGTATTTTTTTGTAGACACAGAGTCTCACTATGCTGCCCAGACTGCTTTCAAACTCCTGGCCTCAAGTGATCCTCCTGCCTCAGTCTCTCGAAGTGCTGGGATTACAGGTGTGAGTCACCATGCCTGGGCCTGCCCAGCATCTGAAATGGATTTGTTTCCATCACTTAAACCTCTTTATCTTGACTCCCACTTGCCCTTGCAGTTAAATTCCATTCCTCTGCTCCTCTTTGCAGAAAAATGTGATGTAATTATCTGTATGCATGGTCTCTGTTCCTTTCCTTCCACTTTATCTTGTACTCACTCCAGTCAAGTTTTATCTCCATCACTCTACTGAATTTCTCTTCTCGGGGTCATGATTAACTAACTCCTGTCTAAATCTGGCTTATCACATTATTTAACACAGTTTATTATTTCCTTTTCCTTGATACACTCTCTTCACTTGGCTTTCCTGGTTTTCCTCCTACTGGTCACTCCTTCTTGGCATCCTGCCTTTGCCTATTCTCTTCTCTTTTGGACCTGTTCAGGTTGAAACTCAATCTTTGTATCTCTTCTCCTTTTTTAATTACAGTGGGCCTACTGGACATGGCTACCTCTCTAATTACACGTCCTAAAAACCTTCTTGTCTTTAGCCATATTAATATCTTATACAGTAGGCATATCTGCATAGTGGAATCCCTAACTTCCTTTGGGTATTTGGTCAAATTTCATCTTTTTAAATGAGGCCTTCCCTGAACTGCATATCTAAAATGCATACTCCCTGCCCTCAGAGGGCACAAAAAATACAATATCCCTTTCCACCAAAACTCCCTGAACAGTTAACAGTATTCAACATTCTATGCATTTATCTGTTGTTTTTTTTCACACCACTAGATTATACCCTCCTTAAAGACAGAATTATAATGTTTTGTTTATTTCTGTGCCTCCAGTCTAGAAACAATGTCTAGCATATGGTCAGTACTCGATAAATATTTGATTTCAGTGAATCAATAATTTTTCTCATGTAGCTATATAAATTAATCTCATTGCTTTATAATCAAAGCTTATACATTGTCCCATTAAATAAAGAAATCCAATAAAGCATGATTATTCAAGTTGGCTTTTTTTTTTTTTTTTTTTTTTTGAGATGGAGTCTCGCTCTGTCACCCAGGCTGGAGTGCAGTGGTGCAGTCTTGGCTCACTGCAGCCTCCACCTCCTGGGTTCAAGCAATTCTCCTGTCTCAGCCTCCTGAGTAGCTAGGACTACAGGCAAGCACCACCACGCCCAGCTAATTTTTGTATTTTTAATAGAGATGGCATTTCACCATTTTGGCCAGGATGGTCTCGATCTCCTGACCTCGTGATCCACCTGCCTTCAAAAGTGCTGGAATTTACAGGCATGAGCCACTGTGCCTGGCCCCAAGTATTTGACTACCTGCCATTTGCTTTTCTCAAGGAAATAGTTGAAAAAACAACTTTTTGTAACAAAAAGAGAGATGATACAAGTAGTATGTAATTGAGTTCAGAATAATGATACAGACATAACTCTGAATTCCTAAAAGTGAAAAATAACTGTGGATAAGAGTAATTGGTAATGGGAACTCCATAGCTAGAAATTGAGGTAAAACTTTAAAGATTTATAGCAGTTGAACATGTAGAGGAAAGAAGAGATTTGGAGTTTAAAGAGCTTAAAGAATGAGAACAGCCTGCATGGGCAGAAGAGTTTGTTATTGAAACTAATGGGAGGATAAAGGAACAAAGGAAATTTGTGGTTCAGATTACCAAGCAGTAAATGGCCATCTGGCCATCACAATCACTGGACCAGTGACTCCTGTGATAGAAATGAAAATGTGAAAAAAATCAGCAAATTTATATACCCTGAAATCACTAGATCTTTTAGCACTCTGATGGAGCTTTTCAGGATAAGGAAGAGATACATATACATAGATTTAATTATGTATTTTCACTTCAAGATTGTCTATAAATATGTGATTTCTTGAAGACAATTGCATTAATACATCTATTGGATGTAACATCAGACAAATGTAGTAGGTTAGTCCAGCACCATAACTTTATGGGAATCTCTTGACTCAGGAGAACATGTCAGGGAGGAGTCTCTGTAGATTTTGGCAGGGAGGTCCCAACATAGAAGCAGCACAGATTATCCTCATTGACTGCCCTTTCTGCAGTGATAAAGGTAAGCTTCAGTGATCATTTATGTTCAGTTGATACTTGATAATGAAGTATTCCAAGTACTCAAAGTGCTTTTTGAACCAGCATACCCAAATGAATATTTTCTAGTAGTTTTCATTAGGGTATACTTTATGAAGTTCTGATTCAAAGGAAGTATGTAAACTGTACATCTCTTAAGTAATCAGCATTAAATTAGCATGACTCCCCAAACCCCATTCGCTCTGGATCAGGTCAGTTGTTCATGGTTTTATTAGAGATGAGACTACAGACTGTAGATACCTTCCTCATTACACCATTGTGCTCTCCTTGGTCACCCTTGCAGGCATGGTTGGGGGAGCAGGGGAAATGGGGAGCCGGCATGAGGAGGCCTGAGTTCTATTGCAGCTACACAAGTAGCCAGGCACTTCCCTTTCACTTTTAACTTTTATTTTTCTATCAGTGAATTGGGATAAAATTAGGCATGACATTTGTTGTTGTTTATTCACTTTAAGCTTGTAATTGGAGCACTGGGCTTTCCCCCTCATTAGTCTTACTGTGGTTACAGGATCAGCTGACACTAGATCAGAATTTCTTAAATTGTGGTGAAGTACTTTTTTATTTTTGTTTGTTTCATGGTTTACTTTCAATCTGTTGTAAACTGATACCTTTGTAAAATTCAATAAAAATGAATTTTTAGCTGAGCACTGGGACTTGTGCCTGTAATTCTAGTGCTTTGGGAGGCCAAGGTGGGAAGATGTCTTGAGGCTAGGAGTTTTGAGACCAGCCTGGGCAACATAGTGACACCCTACCTCTAAAATAACTTTTAAAAAATTACCCAAGCACTGTGACTCATGTCTGTAGATCCAGCTACTCAGGAGGATGAGGCAGGGGGATCACTTGAGCCCAGGAGTTCAAGGTTACAGTGAGCTATGATCAAGCCACTGAACTCCAGACTGGGCGTTAGAGGAAAACCCCATCTTTTAAAAAAATAGCTTTTAGAAAAATGAAATAAAATACATGAAAAATGTATTATAAGCTCACTTTATTAGATTTGACAAATATAAAATGCTCAGTCAAATTGGTAAAAGTCTCTACACAATTATTCTCAGTTTCTTTACTTCTCCGCTTGTCGCAGCTTGTTAACAGAGGATTCTGGACAAATACTAGTCCATGGCCCACACTTTGAGCAGCAGTGCACTAGATGACAGTTTGTTCTCCTGCCCCCCCACACATTTGTCTGCTATAGATGACAATGTTTAGGGTTGCTGGAGCAGAACTCTGGACATCTGTGGGTCTGGAATACCAAGCATAGGAAACTGAAGCCAGGATGGGAGTCAAGAATTAAGTTAACAAGTTTAAGTAGGAAGCAAATACTTTCTAAGAGGCAGTGGTCCTAAAATACATCTCTGCACATTTGAAAATGCATTATTTATGGCTTTATTTTGTAGTTTTGAGGGATTTCTGTCACTAAAAATCAAACCATCTGAAGTGCTGATAAGAAGCCACATTCCCTAAACCTGTGGAAAGTAGAGTCTCTGGAAATGGAGCCTGGGAATTGCATTTAAAAAATAAGTCTCTTCTTCTTTCCCCAAGTAAATCTTGTAGAGAAAGTTATTACTGTGAGAATTTTAGTTGTGTGTATGTTTTAAACAAATGATGTAAAGGAAACAATTAACTACACTGTAATTTTTTTCCTAGTTATATCAGAGGAAGAAAATGAGCTAGGGCTCTTTTTAAAGTTTCAAGCGGAACGCGATGCAACTCAAGCTGGCAAAATGATGGATGCCACTGGCAAGGCACTCTGTTCTTCAGCCAAGCAAAGGTTTACCATGGTTGTTCATCATCTTGAATCTGTAGTCAATCTGATAGTTTTGACATATGTACTTAAATTTTTATATTTGTAAAGATCACTGTTCAGCCTAATAAAGGGTTAAAGAAAAATATATTGCAGTTATATGTTTTGACACCTAATTCTTAATTACTAATTTTGTATGCAAAATAATTATTTAATGATTAATGTTCTTGATTGCTTAATTTCTAGAAATAGTCTTTAGGCCTGTATTTATTTTTCTTTTATTTCCCCTACAATCAGACAAGTGTCAGTTATATCTCTCAACTGGTTTAATGTAACAGTCACAGAATAACTAACATCTTAAAAATGTATATTTTCTTTTTTTCAATTTCACTTTTTGATATTATACTATAAATATATTGGTACTTTTTAAGTAGGAGAAATTTTTTCTTCTTAACTGCATGCTTTCCAGTTATTATTTCAGTTTTTACTATAATGATACCTGCTGCAAAGAATCTTCTGTAATTCCTAAACATAGCCCAAATCTTTGTATTTAAGAAGAAGAATACAACAGTCTTTATCAGACCTATAATAATGATGTACAGCTTGAGATAGCTTTACTCTGAAACATCACATCAGTGCAAAAATCTATCTCGAAGGAAGTGACATGAGGTACTAAGTACAGACCTTCAATGCCACTAAGCCAAAAGCAGAGCAGAGGAATTGGATTTAATTTGTTTAAAAAAAAAAAAAAAAACTTCTTATCTTGTCCTCATCCTCAGCCGCTGAGAACTGCATACTCATTAGTTCTCCTAGCATCTTACCTGCTTTTCCAAACCCAGGTTTTCCCTGAACTTGTCAAATGAAGGCTTTCTGTTAATTGGATTATGCTTTATGAATGCAGGTTCTCTGTTCCCCTCAGAACTGTCCTCTAAATGGCAGATTTAGTGGGCAGGTTACTTATACATGAAATAACATCCAAAGTATTGCAAAAATGACATATTTCCTAAAGTAACAAGTGAGGAGGTGTAGACACATCTTTTTTTTTTTTTTTTGAGATGGAGTTTTGTTCTGTTGCCCAGGCTGGAGTGCACTGGCACAATATTGGCTCACTGCAACCTCCACCTCCCAGGTTCAAGCGATTCTTCTGCCTCAGCCTCCTGAGTAGCTGGGATTACAGGCACCCACCACCATGCCTGGCTAATTTTTTGTATTTTTAGTAGAGACGGGGTTTCATCATGTTGGTCAGGCTGGTCTCAAACTCCTGATCTCAGGTGATCTGCCCACCTCCCAAAGTGCTGGGATTACAGGCATGAGCCACCATGTCCAGCTGTCACATCTTTATTGATAATTCAGAGTTAGCTATATGATTCTAATTTTTTTTCTAAATCTCCTTACGGAACTTAATAATTTTTTACTTGTAGATTCATCTTGTTAGCAAATATGCTTTATCATTGGTTTAAACCTTTGTTTTGTTTTACTTACGATGTGTTCAACCCTCTGATTTTTACCTCTCTGCCATTAGATTGGCCCTGTGTACTCCTCTGTCTCGTCTGAAGCAAGAAGTAGCAACATTCAGTCAAAGGGCGGTATCTGATACCTTGATGACAATTAATCGGATGGAGCAGGCACGCACAGAATACAGAGGAGCTCTGCTGTGGATGAAAGATGTATCCCAAGAGCTGGACCCAGACACCTTAAAGCAAATGGAAAAGTTTAGAAAAGTATGAAAATGTATCCCTTTCCTTTTCTTGGTGTATGAAATATGAAACTGCCATAGAATAATTTAAGATCATAAAATTTCAGATGTTTTTTGAGAAATATATGTTTCATTATAAATTCTTGGTTGCTTGGAGACTGTAGTTGGAAGTACAAAAGCTTGTCACACTTTTATTTTTACTCCTGGAGTGACATCTTCACACCCATCTACCTTTTTTATTAATTTTTTTAATCCCTCTCATGATAGATCTAAATTACTTATTAAATGTTGCTTGCTTGGGCTTCTGAGATTCATTTGCAGGAAGAAAATAGTTTATTACAGAGGACAAAAGTAATTTAAGTAAAAATTCATGTCAAATGATTGTTAATTACAAGAAAATATGAAGGTTGTCAAAATTTTTGTTTGGTCACAATTCAAAGTTTGGCCACAAACTTGGTAAGTAATTACGTATAAACATACATTTTTGCTAAGTAAACTGCTTATTACAAATTATATCCCCTAATTCTACCATACATAAATAATAAAATTCATTTTTTCATTTATTTTATAAATATTTAGAGAACCCATAATAAATATCATAATATTTAATATTGATGGAGCCAGGACTTTTAGGCCAGCTGTTAAGTGGTTTGCCTCATTGATTACACACAACAGCCCTATGAAGTAGGTGAATACATGGCCTCAGGCCACCACGACCTCATATTTCACCCCTTTTACAATCTTTGACAGTGAGAATACAGTCCAAGGGAGTGACTGAACGACATTGTGAATGCACTAAATGCCACTGAATTGAAAACTTTAAAATTGCTAATTGTATGTCATGCAACGTTCACCTCAATTTTTAGAAGAAGAATAATGTATTAGTCTCTTTTCATGCTGCTGATAAAGACATAACCGAGACTGGGTAGATAAGGAGATTTAATTGACTTACAGTTCCACGTCACTGGGGAGGCCTCACAATCATGGCGGAAGGCAGGGAGGACCAAGTCATGTCTTACATGGATGGTGGCAGGCAAAAAGAGAGAGCTTGTGCAGGGAAACTACCCTTTTTAAAACCATCAGATCTAGGCCAGGTGCAGTGGCTCATGCCTATAATCCTAGCACTTTGGGAGAGCCAAGGTGGGTCGATCACCTGAGGTCAGGAGTTTAAGACCAGCCTCGCCATCATGGTGAAACCCCATCTTTAAATATATAAATAAATAAATAATAAAACCATCGGATCTTGTCAGACTTACTCACTATCATCAGAACAGCACAGGAAACACCTGCCCCCAATTCAGTTATCTCCCACTGGGTCCCTTCCATAACACATGGGAATAAAAGATGAGTTTTGGGCAGGGACACAGCCAAACCATATCAAATACAATCCAAGTCCCTATCTGGACCCCTAAAACCCTGCATGGCCTGATCCCTGGTCCCTCCACAGCCATACTTTGTACTTGCTTTCTACACTCCAGGAAGAATGTGCTATACCCACTTCCTTCTTGTTCTTCTAACATGATAAGGTCTTCACCACCTCCCACTCTCAGGACCTTTGTCCTTGCTTGTCCCTGGTTCTGGAATGCTCTCCCCAGGGTCTTAGCTTAGCCTGCTCATCATCTTTCTGTCCCAGTTCAAACATCATGAATGATCTCACCAAGGACCTCCATGTCATTTTATTAAGGTAGTCAGTCACTCATTTCTGCAACCTGAGATTATCTTATATATTTATGTACTTCTTTTTTCCCAGTGCCTCCTACCCACGGATGGTGGGGAAGAACATTGTTTTGTTCATCACAATGTCTCAGTGCCCAGAACACTGCCTTGCATGTAATAGGTACCTTAACTTTTTAATATATTAATTCATTCAACAAATATTCAAATATTTGTTGAATGAATTAATATATTAAGTTGACTATTCACATTACCCAATGACATGACTCACCATTTATTCAAGAAATGTAATAGATCTTTACTAAAATTCATAAATATCTGCATGGTTCAGAAATATTACTAATGTTTCTCAGCATTTTAATAAGGTCCCCTTTCCATTTATTCTTCTGCTGTTAGCTAAGTCCTATCCATGAATAGTTTCAGATGTTCCTTTTTATTTGGAATACTTTTTTAAAAACTATGTACTTTCCATCTATTATCTCATACTTTCTCAGCATAAAGATATCTTCTGGAAAGAATCTCCTACAATTACTAACAGTTGCCAAAATCTTCATCATTATTCATGAACTATTAATGATACAGGGAAAAGTAATTAGTCTTTATTATAATTTATTTCTGAAAATATGAACCTGCATAATATATTTATATCTGTAATAATATACTATATTTATACTATATATCTATAATAAAAATTAGCATTTTTATTGCAGGTACAGATGCAAGTGAGAAATAGCAAAGCTTCTTTTGACAAGTTAAAGATGGATGTTTGTCAGAAAGTGGACTTACTTGGAGCTAGTCGCTGCAATATGCTATCTCATTCTCTCACTACCTACCAGGTACCCACCTCCATGATCAGCATGCCCTTGCAGTAAAGATGAGTGGTGAGATTCCTTTTTAAAAGTTGTCTAAAGGGTGCAGAAAATTTTGTGTGATTAGGTTCCTTTGGCTTTGCTATAATTGCTTTATTGAGGTTATGAAAGTCAGAGAGTCATAAAGTTCTGGAAAAGACCTTAGAGATTGTCTACTTCTGTAGATATTCTCTTTGGTGTCATAGGAGAGAGAAAGACCTATGGACCATTTGAGGTTGAAGAGGAGAATGTTGAAGAGGCAAATTCTAACGCCCATTTGCCCTGGTTTAACCACAGTTGTTCCACTTCTGGGTTTGAAGGTTCTATATACAATTTCATCTGAAGCAAAGATGCTGTGCCCCCAGAAGTTTAAAAACTTTTCTGTCGTTTTACGGTTGAGGAAAATGACACCTATGAGAATTAAAGTGAGAGGTAATGTTGAGCTTAGAAACCAAAGTTTTCTAATTCTGGATTGTGTGTTCTTTTCATTCTGCCAAGTTGTCATCCCATATCACTTTAACCTCAGAAGTTTCACTTGTGCTTATGTTACTATAAATCACATATAAATAACACACAATGAATAAGTTAGATGTTAATAGCAGTTACTGATTTTTACATATATTTTAAATAGAAAAAATTGAATAAACTGTACTTAAAAGAGTAATAAACTATAGGAAATGGACATTCACTCCTGCTTTTAGGGAGTCTGCCTATTTCAGTTCAATTCTGTGGGATTCAGGAATGGAAAAAGGATGTACTTTAAAATAACGGTGTGTGATAACTGTTTGGCATTGCCTGAAGCACACTAGCTATGAGTTCAGTTCTCCTTTATTCTCTCCATTCTTCACCTTCACTTTAATCAGGAACCTTGAAGCAGCAAGAAAAATTTCCTATTACTTGAGTTAGCTTGAGAACACATTTTTTTTGGCAAATCTTTCTTGAACTCTAGATGAAAGGCCAGATTTAGTGGTAAATGGAATTTTTCTCCAATTAAAAAATGTTTATATAGGCCGGGCACGGTGGCTCAAGCCTGTAATCCCAGCACTTTGGGAGGCCGAGGCGGGTGGATCACAAGGTCGAGAGATCGAGACCATCCTGGTCAACATGGTGAAACCCCGTCTCTACTAAAAATGCAAAACATTAGCTGGGCATGGTGGCGCGTGCCTGTAATCCCAGCTACCTGGGAGGCTGAGGCAGGAGAATTGCCTGAACCCGGGAGATGGAGGTTGCAGTGAGCCGAGATTGCGCCATTGCACTCTAGCCTGGGTAACAAGAGTGAAACTCCGTCTCAAAAAAAAAAAAAAAGTTTATATATTCCTCTTAACATAAAGATTACACATATGCCCCTCCTTTTATAGAGATAGGTATTTTTGTGCTTTTAAAATTTCTCCCTTTAATACCTCAGATGTTCTAATCCTTCAGTTTTCATTCTCTTAGCTGCAATCACTCTCTAGGTGGCTCCAGTGTACATTCCTGTGCTGTTTATACAGACAACACCCACACGTGCAGACACAGATGCCAATTCTTATGCAAAATGACTATTTGTAGTGCTTTATGGTTCCCCAAACTTGGAAAACTGAGTTTAGTTCCTGCTGCTTCTTATTTGTCAACTGTTCCTCTACTAAACTAGTAAGGAAATACAGCACTTAAAAAACCATGGAGGGGAATCAGAACTGTAGAGTCACCTTTTCTTTTTTTGCAGAGAACACTGCTTGGATTCTGGGAGAAAACAGCTCGAATGATGTCCCAAATTCGTGAAGCCTGTATTGGCTTTCATCCATATGATTTTGTAACTCTCAAGGTACATGGTGTTCCATGTTCTCTTGTTTAGATGTATTACACTTCATTTGGGTGGTAACATTGAAACTTTTTTTTTTTTTTGCCAAGGTTAATTTAAAATTTACAAGACATTGAGAAACATTTTCCTTCAGCCAAGGATCAGCACTTTCCTAATTGCAGATGCTGCCAGCAGCACTGAAATACATAGGAATACTGCTGGCAGGCTCAAGATCGTAGTAGGACAGTGAAAAAGAGGGGAGAACTTGAAAAAATTTAAAAGCAAAAGAGATAAGAAAAGGCTATGGAAAGGAAAAATTTAAGAAGAACAAGTGATGGAAAGTGGTCATGTGTTCTCAAAAGTGACCAGATTATCTACCTGAAAATATTAACAGTTAGAGAAAAACTTTACTGTTTTACTTTTACACTATTGTCATAGATATAATTCATGATACCAACATTATGCCAGGTTTCAGCACCTAGATATAATTCACAATACCAACATTATGCCAGGTTTCAGTACCTAGATATAATTCATGATACCAACATTATGCCAGGTTTCAGTACCTTTTAACTTACCATTCATTCTGCCTTACTTTCAGTAAAGCTTGAAAGCGCCGCTGGCTGGTTTGTTCAAGCTGAATGTGGTATTTGTGATAGGCTCATATCTTACATATTCCTAGGGTTTAGGAAGGATGTTAAAGTCATGTTCTGACACAGCATCTTCCAGCCCCAAAGATGCCCTTGAATTAGGTTGTTTTTCATTTTGTTTTGTTTTGTTTTTACTTTTTTTATAATAAATGTTTCACTGTATGGCATACTATATATTTAGGCAAATTTTATATCCAATTTCTGCTCAGAATCAAAATAGAAAATCTTTAGCTGTATTTAGAGCATTGCAATACAGGACAGCAACACAGTTTAAGTCTTCGTTAGGCCTTTTACAAAGTTGTTAAAATAATCTATGGCTACCCCACATCACAGTATGTGCAGTTTACACAGGAAGCCAGGAGAAACAAGTATTTGGAGCTCAGTAGCTCAGTTCGGATTACATTAGCATACATGTACTATATCTTTCACTTTCTAGTTCAGAACTTCCTATTTCATATGATTCTTTAGAATTTTTATTCTCATTTTCTTTGCAGAGAAGAAGAAACATTCTTTCTATCTACTTAACATTGACTTTCTTATCCTTAGCAACTACAAGACACTCCAAGCAAGCTTAGTGAAGACTATAAAGAAGAACAAATAGGCGGTTTTCTTACTGAACACCTTAATAAGTAAGCAGGCATAAGTCATATGTGTCATGCTATAGAAATCCTTGATACTATCATATGATATATGTGGAAAGAATTGTTTTTGCTCTTATTGAATATTTATTTGTGTCATTTTTCCTGCTTTTTTTTTTTTTTTTTGAGACGGAGTCTCACACTGTTACCAGGCTGGAGTGCAAGTGGCATGATCTTGGCTCACTACAATCTCTGCCTCCTGGGTTCAAGCAATTCTTCTGCCTCAGCCTGCTGAGTAGCTGGGACTACAGGCACCCATCACCATGCTCGGCTAATCTTTTGTGTTTTTGTAGAGATGGGGTTTCACCATATTGGCCAGGATGGTCTTGATCTCTTGACCTCGTGATCTGCCTGCCTTGGCCTCCCAAAGTGCTGGGATTACAGGCATAAGCCACTGCCCCCGGCCTCTATGTCATTTTTCCAATCAACACTAAACATTTGTGTCATAGTCTATTTGTGTTGCTATAGCAGAATACCTGAGACAAGGTAATTTATAAAGAAGTTTAGCTTATGGTTCTGCAGGTTGGGAAGTTCAAGAGCATGGCCCTGGTTTCTGGTGAGGGCTTTAGTGCTGCTTCATAACATGGTAGAGAAAGTCAAAGGGGAAGCAGACCTGTGTGAAGAGGCAAAATCAAGGGGTGTGCTGGCTGTATAACAACCCATTCAGAAGCGTTCCTGAGAGATCTCATGGGAGGGAGAACTCACTCATTACCATGAAAAAGGCACCAAACCATTCATGAGGGATCTGCTCCCATGACCCAAACACCTCTTACTAGATCTCCACCTCCCAATACTCCCATGTTGAGAGGTTGGAGTCAAATTTCAAGAAGAGTTTTGATGAGGAGAAATTCAAACCTTAGCAATTTGTTTTAAAACTTGATGTATTTTTTCCCATTTTTTTCTTAATATCCAGATCCTGCATAATTTTTTTTCCATTTTTTAACATAGCAGGCAAAGGACATGACAGGAGTGTCAAACTGATTGGGGTGATTAAGAGTCTGTCATTTGGAATATTAAGCCTTGTATTAAAAGCCACAAGTTCCTCTAGTGACTTTTAAAAGGGGCAGCTTGAGAGAAGAAAGGGACAGGTACCCACAGCTATGAAATATATTAAAAATCTGTTTCCAGAATAACACACGTAGGACTGGGACTGGTTACCTGAAAATAGATGCTCTTGCCATTACATCCTTCATGTCACCTGTTTCCCTTTTATTATATTATATTGTCCCTTTGTTTTTATTTCAAAGCTGCTATTCTCATTTTAACCAGATTCAATATATTAACAAACTTAGAAATAAGGGCCAAACAACTTTCAATACTAGCACCTGTGAGGTCAGGCCCCAGGTATAGTGACTATGTCTGTGTTCAGTTTCTTCGTCTTAACTTTTTGTTTATTAGGCAGATGCTATGAATATCCAGAATTAGTACTGATTGAGGATATTTTAGGCTAATGTGTCTTGCAAACATAACTTTGTTGTTCAAAATAGGGTACTCCATCTTTCCTGGAGTTCCTCATTCCCTTGATTTAGTTCCCAAGTGTTCTTAAAACCTTTCAAGACTTGAAAATGAAACTTCTTACTCTATGGCTTTGATGGTGAAGGTTCTTGAAGATTGAGTACTTAACACTGTGCCTACAGCGCTGAGCATGATGACTGGTGCTTTGTAGATATTCAGTAAGTGTTTATTGAAGGAATAAGGGGTGAAAGGTCTGTGTAGAGCTATAGAAAAAGTAGGAAATTCACCAGATGCAGATTTTAGGGGATCTAGTGGAAAATGATTTTATGTTTCCTGAGTAAAAACATTTTTTTAATCACGTAAAACTGCTTGGGGAATATGAATCGCAAACGTATTGTAACCAAAAATCTACATTTTGTTTTGTTTTGTTTTACTTCAGACTAGTTTTGTCTGATGAGGAAGCAAGCTTTGAGAGTGAACGAGGTAAGACGGTAAATTTATTACTTTGAAATGGTCACATTCTAAATGTCAAAATAGTTTCTCACAGCCTTTTAGTAGAGACAGGGCTTCACCATGTTGGCCAGGCTGGTCTCGAACTCCTGACCTGAAGTGGTCTGCCCACCTCAGCCCAGTATCGCCATAATGGATACTATATTACTATCCATTCAATTAACAGAACAGGCTAAGTAAGTCCCTTCTGTGGGAATACCTTTTGTTATATTTCTAAGAGTACCTGATCAGAGGATCTAATAGTCTTCTTTAGGGAATCAGGATTCTCAAAAATAGGTACATTTTTATTTTTTTAATTTTTGGGCTTTGAAATGTTTTATGGGTACATAGTAGGTGTATATATTTATGGGGTAGCTGAGATATTATGAAACAAGCATATAATGCATTATAATCCCATCAGGGTAAATGAGATATCCGTCACTCAAGCATTTATCATTTCTTTGTGTTACAAATATTTTAATTATATTATTTTAGTGATTTTTGAATGGACAATAGATTATTGTTGACTGGAGTCACCCTGTTGTGCTACCTGTTGTGCTATTAAATACTAGATCTTACTCTATCTAACTATATGTTTTTGTACCTATTAATCATCTCTGTTGCCCACCACTAATTTTCTCAGCCTCTGGTAAACATCTTTGTATTTTCTATCTCCATGTGTTCAGTTGTTTTCATTTTGAGCTCCCACAAATGAATGAAAACATACAAAATGTGCCTTTCTGTGCCTAGCTGATTTCACTTACAATTATATCCTCCACTTCATTCCATGTTGTTGCAAATGACAGGATCTTATTCTTTTTAAAATTTTAAAATTATGATTATACTTTAAGTTCTAAGATACAAGTACAGAATGTACAGGTTTGTTACATAGGTATACACGTGCCATGGTGTTTTGCTGCACCCATCAACCTGTCACCTACATTAGGTATTTCTCCTAATGCTATCCCTCCCCTACCCCACTACCCCCCAACAGGCCCCGGTTTGTGATGTTCCCCTCCCTCTGTCCATGTGCTCTCATTGTTCAGTGCCCACTTATGAGTGAGAACATGCAGTGTTTGGTTTTCTGTTCTTGGGTCAGTTTGCTAAGAATTATGGTTTCCAGTTTCATCCATGTCCCTGCAAAGGACATGAACTCATCCTTTCTTAAGGCTTCATAGTATTCCATGATGTATATGTGCCGCATATTCTTTTTCCAGTCTATCATTGATGGACATTTAGGTTGGTTCCAAGTCTTTGCTATTGTGAACAGTGCTGCAATAAACATACATGTGCATGTGCCTTTATAGTAGAATGATTTATAATGCTTTGGGCATATACCCAGTAATTGCTAGAACCAAATGGTATTTCTGATTCTAGATCCTTGAGGAACTGCCACTGTCTTCCACAATGGTTGAACTAATTTACACTCCCATCAACAGTGTAAAAGCATTCCTATTTCTCCACATCCTCTCCAGCATCTGTTGTTTCCTGACTTTTTAATGATCACCATTCTAACTGGCATGAGACGGTATCTCATTGTTGTTTTGATTTGCATTTCTCTAATGATCAGTGATGATAAATTTTTTTTCATGTTTGTTAGCTGCATAAATGTCTTCTTTTGAAAAGTGTTTGTTCTGGCTGGGCATGGTGGCTTACACCTGTAATCCTGGCACTTTGGGAGGCCAAGGTGGGTAGATCATGAGGTCAGGAGATCGAGACCATCCTGGCTAACACAGTGAAACCCCATCTCTACTAAAAATATAAAAAATTAGCTGGGTGGAGTGGCATACACCTGTATCCCAGCTGCTTGGGAGGCAGAGGGAGGAGAATTGCTTGAACCCGGGAGGCAGAGGTTATAGTGCGCTGAGATTGCGCCTCTGCACTACAACCTGGGGAACAGAGTGAGACCCCATCTCAAGAAAAAAAAAAAAAAAGGCCGGGCACGGTGGCTCAAGCCTGTAATCCCAGCACTTTGGGAGGCCAAGGCGGGCAGATCATGAGGTCAAGAGATCGAGAACATCCTGGTCAACATGGTGAAACCCCGTCTCTACTAAAAATACAAAAAATTAGCTGGGCATGGTGGTGCATGCCTGTAATCCCAGCTACTCAGGAGGCTGAGGCAGGAGAATTGCCTGAACCCAGGAGGCAGAGGTTGCAGTGAGCCGAGATCGTGCCATTGCACTCCAGCCTGGGTAACAAGAATGAAACTCCATCTCAAAAAAAAAAAAAAAGAGAAGTGTCTGTTCATATCCTTCACCCACTTTTTGATGGGGTTGTTTTTTTCTTGTAAATTTGTTTAAGTTCTTTGTAGATTCTGAATATTAGCCCTTTGTCAGATGGATAGATTGCAAAAATTTTCTCCCATTCTGTACATTGCCTGTTCACTCTGATGATAGTTTCTTTTGCTGTGCAGAAGCTCTTTAGTTTAATTAAATCCTGTTTGCCAGTTTTGGCTTTTCTTGCCACTGCTTTTGGTGTTTTAATCATGAAGTCTTTGCTCATGCCTGTGTCCTGAATGGTATTGCCTAGGTTTTCTTCTAGGGTTTGTTTTTTTTTTTTCTTTCTTTCTTTCTTTTTCACCAAGGCCATCATAAATCATCTGATGATCTTCTAGGGTTTTTATGGTTGTAGATCTCACATTTAAGTCTTTAATCCATATTGATTAATTTTTGTGCAAGGTATAAGGAAGGGATCCAGTTCCAGTTTTCTGCATATGACTATCCAGTTTTCCTAACTTCATTTATCAAATAGGGACTCCTTTCCTCATTGCTGTTTTTGTCAGGTTTGTCAAGGACCAGATGGTTGTGGATATGTGGTGTTATTTCTGAGACCTCTGTTCTGTTCCATTGGTCTATATATCTGTTTTGGTACCAGTACAGTGCTGTTTTAGTTGCTGTAGCCTTGTAATACTTTGATGTCAGGTAGCATGATGCCTTCAGCTTTGTTCTTTTTGCTTAGGATTGTCTTGGCTATACGTGCTCTTTTTTGGTTCCATATGAAATTTAAAGTAGTTTTCTCTAATTCTGTGAAGAAGGTCAATGGTAGCCTGATGAGGATAGCATTACATGTATAAATTACTTTGGATAGTGTGTCCATTTCCACGATATTGATTCTTCCTATCCATGAGCATGGAATGTTTTTTCATTTGTTTGTGTCCTCTCTTATTTCCTTGAGCAGTGGTTTGTAGTTCTTGAAGAAGTGCTTCACATCCCTTGTAAGTTGTATTCTTAGGTATTTTATTCTCTTTGTAGCAATTGTGAATAAAAGTTCACTCAACATTTGGCTTTCTCAGCTGGGTGCGGTGGCTCACACGTATAATCCCAGCACTTTGGGATCACCTGAGGTCGGGAGTTCAAGAACAGCCTGACCAATGTGGAGAAACCCCATCTCTACTAAAAATACAAAATTAGCTGGGCGTGGTGGTGCATGCCTGTAATCCCAGCTACTCAGGAGGTTGAGGCAGGAGAATTGCTTGTTGCTTTAACCCGGGAGGTGGAGTTGCAGTGAGCCGAGATTGTGTCATTGCACTCCCGCCTGGGCAACAAGAGCGAGACTCCGTCTCAAAAACAAAAACAAACAAACAAGCGATTTGGCTTTCTGTTTGTCTATTATTGGTGTATAGGAATGCTTGTGATTTTTGCTCATTGATTTTTGTATCCTGAGACTTTGCTAAAGTTGCTTATCAGCTTAAGGAGATTTTGGGCTGAAATGATGGAGTTTTCTAAATATACAATCATGTCATCTGCAAACAGAGACAATTTGACTGTCTCTCTTCCTATTTGAATATGCCTTATTTCTTTCTCTTGCCTGATTGCCCTGGCCAGAACTTCCAATTCTATGTTGAATAGGAGTGGTGAGAGAGGGCATCCTTGTCGCGTGCCGGTTTTCAAAGGGAATGCTTCCAGCGTTTGCCTGTTCAGTATGATATTGGCTGTGGGTTTGTCATAAATAGCCCTTATTACTTTGAGATATGTTCCATCAGTACCTACTTTATGGAGAGTTTTTAGAATGAAGGGTATTTAATTTTGTCAAAGGCCTTTTCTGTATCTATTGAGATAATCATGGTTTTTGTCATTGGTTCTGTTTATGGGATGGATTATGTTTATTGATTTGCATATGTTGTAACCAGACTTAACTCCCAGCGGTGGAGCCAACTTGATAAACTTTTTGATGTGCTGCTGAATTTGATTTTCCAGTATTTTATTGAGGATTTCTGCATCGATGTTCATCAGGGATTTTGGCCTAAAATTTTCTTTTTTCATTGTGTCCCTGCCAGGTTTTGGTATCAGGATGATGCTGGCCTCATAAAATGCGTTAGGGAGAAGTCCCTCTTATTCTATTGTTTGGAATAGTTTCAGAAGGAATGGTACCAGCTCCTCTTTGTACCTCTGGTAGTATTCAGCTGTGAATCCGTCTGGTTCTGGGCTTTCTTTGGTTGGTAGACTATTAATTATTACTTCTATTTCAGAACTTGTTATTAGTCTATGCAAGGATTCCGCTTCTTCTTGATTTAGTCTTGGCAGGGTGTATGTGTCCAGGAATTTATCCATTTCTTCTAGATTTTCTAGTTTAGAGGTGTTTATAGTATTCTCTAATGGTAGTTTGTATTTTTGTGGGATCAGTGGTGATATTCCTCTATTATTTTTTGTCTATCTGATTTTTCTCTCTTCTTCTTTCTTCATCTGGTTAGCAAGTAGTCTGTCTATTTTGTTAGTCTTTTCAAAAAACCATCTCCTAGATTCATTGATTTTGTGTGTGTGTGTCTCTGTCTCCTTCAGTTCTGGTCTGATCTGAGTTATTTCTTGTCTTCTGCTAGCTTTTGAATTTGTTTGCTCTTGCTTCTCTAGTTCTTTTAATTATGATGTTAGGGTGTCGATTTTAGATCTTTACTGCTTTCTTCTGTGGGCATTTAATGCTATAAATTTTCCTCTAAACACTGCTTTGGCTGTGTCCCAGAAATTCTGGTAGGTTGTATCTTTGTCCTCATTGGTTTC